CCTTTGCCGACGGGCTCATTCCGTACACTCAGGAACTAATCCTGGGCTGTCGTCAACCAAAAAGTCGTTTACACCACAATCGCCATCGCGTGGCTATTGATCTACCGTATTTCGTCATCGCGTCCATTAAAAACCACCGTCTGTCCTTCAAAGGATGCTTGCGATCGGCACAAAACCACTCGGGTCTACAGTAGGCAAACTGCCTTTGTGCGCACTTCCTCAGCTGAGAAGCCTCTGCGTGCGATGTCCGTTGTCCAACTTCCGTCGTCGCTTCTCGTGAATGCGTGTCGCGGGTGTCGTTACGGTCAACGGGATTTTCGGTTGCATTGTGAACGTTGATTTATGGCCGAACATTTCGAAACGCATTCAGACCAGAGATCGACTATTCGCCGCCGCAGATAGCCGTTTGTGGACGAAACATCGTTAAGGAGTCTAACGTCGGAGGGGCGCTGTCCACTACTCTTAATGAAGAATGGAACGGCGTGAATCATACCTCGACTCGCTTAGTCTTTGGCTTCTGCTATGAAAGGTCAACAAGAGAATTTTGTCCTCGAAAGTACAAATCTTTTCTGAATGGCTTTCTTTTACTCCTCACTCACTTCACCAGATCTAGAGACAGGTCCGGTGCAAAAATGAAATAAGCAGTTTCTAGACACCTTATTGAGGTACATGGTCAAAGATAAGGCAATTCATCAAACGATCATTAAGGACGCTAAACTACTAGTCCCAAGGGCATTCATCAGAGAAAATGAACTCGTTAGTCAAACGAGTAAAGAACGAGGATCCTGTACACCTCGACCTTTCAAGTCACACCTTAAGCTGTAGAGTCCGGAAAGTGTCCTGAAACCATGAGTTTGTAACCAACAATAACTAAAATCTGTTTATAAGGCTGAAATACAAATACGTATATTTATTTTATGAGATTTATTTGATATTGACATACACTGCATTCAAGATGAAAGACTTAACAGTGGCACCTGTTCACATTTTTCCATGTTGATTTTCATTCATATGACAGGCCGATTACTCTCTCTCCATCTTCAACATCGTCCTACCGGTTACCAAGAAACAGATAGAGCTGATAAGTCAGGCGTGACATCAATTTAACGTTAATAAATTTCATGCTCCAAGAACACTCTTCGATTGGCCATGCGTACGATGTTTATTATAACGGTAATCACGTCGTTAAGCATTTTGATATTAGGATATGATAACCACATTGAAGAAAGAAAGGAGATTCCTAACGGACAATAACTCTTCGTTCTGTTTTTCAGCTATATCTGTTGGCTACCTGC